CCGCTAGATCTAAGGCTGCAACATAACTATATGGTCAAGTTTAATGTTGTTGAATTTGAAGGGCCCATTGTTCTCCCTACACTACTTCCAGGGCACACATTTTGTGGTGACTAGCAGTCTGATGCAGATGCTTACAACGAGGGTTTTGTTTGGTGGAATTACTTCGGAAAATCTGCATGGGCATATGGACAAGTTGAGGAGCGTTTGTAAGAGTTGTGTAAGGCGACCAGAGTTGAATATGGATGTCATAGGGTTGAGAGTACTACCTCTATAATTAATTAGAGATGATGCGATCTGGATTTCGGAGCTACCTTTCAACTCAATTCATACATGGGATCAATTGCACAAGGTGTTCATTATCGAAAATTTCCCGTTGTTTAAGAATTTGAACCACAAGGATAAACTTAATAACTTCGTGGAACTACCAGGAGAGTGTGTCAGTAGTTCATAGGATGGATTCACTTCATTCATAAGATGTGTTCTTAATCATCGTATTGATGATGAGCCAGTGAAGGAGTACCTCTATAGAGGCCAAGATGACAATGGTAAAGTTGTGATTGATACTAGGTTGTAGGATCAAATGGAGAGTGCACTTTTGAGGAGATCGCGGAGAATTTGGAGATGATTTCCCAAAATAATAATGCATAGAGTACTCGAAAGTAAGAAATATGAAGAATCATTTTTGCAGTTCAATCTGCACCTAGTCAATCTACTGGTGATATTCATGAGAAAATGGCTCAGATAAGGACAAAACTTGGGTTGGTATCGAAGCATGTAAGAGGAGGTGCCGAAAAGGTAAATGATGTGAATTATTTTACTAGGAATACACCATAACAAGTTAAGGAATGTTATTATGAAGAGGATGTGTATTTAGTGAATGATCAGACATGGGGTTTTCGAGCCAACGCCCAAGGTTCCAACTCGGGTAATTAGATCCAAGAGAAAGAAAATCAAGGTTAGAACTATGGCAACTATAATATGTCCAAGATAGGAACTACAACCGCGAAGACAACTACAACTGGAACAACTATGTCAACAAGAACGATTGGAGTGGGCCTTATGTTTCCGCACAAAATCGAGAATTTGGCAATAATGCAGTTGGGGGTAGTATGTCAAGGATTTAAGTATGATGCAGAAAATGATGAAGAGGTTTGATTTAAATTATTAGAATGTGAAGGAGATTCGAAATGACTTGTCTGGAATCGATCGAAAGTTTGTTGCCCATGCAATGTCGAACAAGCAACTTGAGTTGTAGATGAATTAGTTGTCCACTACAGTCAACACACTTCAACTTGGCACACTACCAACCAACAGTATCAAAAATCTAAAGAATGATGGGCATTGTATGACAGTCACTACTCAAGGGCTAAGCTGACCATTAATCAACCTATGTCGTTCGAGGTTGAAATTGTAGTTGCAATGATGATGATGACACTAAGGTTACTAGAGATTACAAATATGCTACAGAGAAGGAAGTGAAGATTACCCAAACAAAATTCCTCATGCCTAGACCTCCACCTCTATTCATACAGAGGTTCGTATAGAAGAATGAAGAAGGGAAATTTTACAGGTTTATTACTATGTTGAAAAAACTTTCCATCAAAGTTCCGTTGATAGAAGCTTTGGAGCAAATGAATGGTACGCAAAATTCATGAAATATTTGGTGACTAAGAAGAGAGTAGTAAACCTTGAAAATGATGATAGGTTGCAGCATGTAGTGTTATTGCTACTCAGTCGCTTGTGCAGAAGAAAGAGGATTACCATTGGTTTTATTCACATTTTTTGAAGGCGTTATGTGATTTGGGTGTTAGTATTAATGAGGTACCGTTGTCTATTTACAAAAAGTTGGATTACGGGCTCCAAAACCGACTGTGATGCAATTACTCAGGGCCAATAGAATTGTCAATAAGCTCATTGGTGTTCTCAAGAGGTACTTATGAATGCGGATTCATTTATTTTTTTGGCTGATTTTGTTACACTAGATTGTGAGGTTGATTTTGAGGTTCCCATCATCTTAGGTAGACCAATCCTAGCTACTAGGCACACCTTTGTCAATATGGAGAAGTGGCAGATGAAGTTCCAAATAAATAGTGAAGAGGTAACTTTTAATTTCTTTAAATCCGTAAAGTAGCAAAGCGATCTCAAATCATTGTGTGTGGTAAATCATAATGTGGAGCAAGGTTTTGATGTGTCTATTGAAGAGAGGTTGGTTGTTGATGCACTAACAGCGGTAATGATGAATTTTGAGGGTGCTAGTATTGAGGACTATGATGAATTGATCGCTACACTTGATAGGTTTGAATTTCGTTCCAAACAAAATAAATTAAAGCTATATATGAAGAATCGCCACTCTCTACTCGCAAAACCGTCATTGAAGAGGCTCTGAAATCGTAGCTTAAGGCTCTACCATCACTTTTGAGATATGCATTCTTGCGGAGATATGGTACTTTACCAAGCATCATTGTGGTAGATTTGAGTGAGGTGCAAGTTGAGGTATTGGTTATGTGTTGAAAAGGTTTAAGAGGAAAATTCGGTGGGCTATTGCAGACATTATTGGGATACCTTCTGACATTTGTTCTCATAAAATCCAAACTATGCCAGATCACAAGCCTAGTATTGAGCACCAAAGAAGACTAAATCCTCTTATGCAAGAGGTAGTGAAAAAGGAAATAATCAAGTGGTTGCATGCTGGAGTTATTTATCCCTTTGCAGATAGTAGTTGGCTGTGTTATGTTGAGTGTGTGCCCAAGAAAGGTAGGATTACTGTGGTTATGGGGTCTGTTCAGGTTTTACTTAAACATACCCATAAGTGCACCTTCGGATTTTCTGGGCGGTGCCTGGGGCGACGCCCACCATCACGACAAGGGTGAATGGCGCGCCACGCCAGTCAATACGCCAATAGTTATTCTCTGAAGTTTAGGGGCTTGTTCCCCACGCCACTCGGTGCGCTAGGGTCGCCTGCGCACACCCGTTCTTCATCGTTTCGTCTATTTGAGTTCTTTCAAAGTAACTTTACCCCCATTTGATTCGTAACTAATAATAAAAACCTATGAATTATTCATAACCTTGAATTTATAATTCAAATTGAAGGTAGAGTAAGAGTTAAGTCGTGAGAATATATAAGAACATTTCAAGAGAGTCCTTTTGAATCTTTTGAGGAGTTTTTCTATAATTTCTAATAACTTATTTCAACAATCAAACAAATGAGCATGAGGAGGAGAATTTATCCATGAGTCTACTCTATTAACAAGATCCTTCATATAATCAACCATAACTCTTGAATCTATACTTCACATGCAACAGAGAGTTAAGAGTAGAGTCCAAGAAATTATTTGAGTTTAATTGTGAATCTTTTGTGATCAATTATTGATTTGAGCTATGTTTTGACGAAGTAAGTATAAGAATGAGAGAACTCGGAGACATAAGTTCCGTATTGTTATGTTGACCCTCGAGTCGAGTCGTTCATGTCCATAAATTCCTCATGAACTTCATAAATTGAGTACCTTTCAGAGGAGTAATATATTCGAGTTCTAAGTCTTGAGTCCTTGAGTTGAGTTTTCATGCCCATAATTCCGCATGAGTATTATGAGTTGAGAATTCTTTAAATGAGTAGTATAGTTGAAGTTTTTGAGTTCTGAATTGTCGAGTTTTGAGCATCGAGTTTTTTGTATGGTTATTGAAAACCTTGATTTGAGTCATTGACGTGTATCATTTGGCATGAACTCTATTTTGAAAAGGCTTTTACCTGTTCTTTTAAACTTATTATTAGAATTGAGAACTTGAGCCGAAGAAGAATAGGGCCAAGTTAATTTTCCATAAATGATATATGGAAACATAGAATTTTCAAGAGTAAATGTTTTCACATTTAAAAGAGGATTAAGCTGAGATTTCCAAAAGAGTTTTGAGCAGTTCAGTAACATCTCTTTTTAGAGAAAGATTTTGAGTAATAATATCAAATCACATAAAGAGTTATGTTTTTAAACCAAGACATAAATTATTTATTAAGAAAACAATTTTAGAAGCAACAAAGGAATTGAATCCCCATAAACTCAATCAATAAGTAAAATATTTATGTGGAATATACCCCTAAAAACTGAACGTGGTATTAAAAAATCTAATGTAATCAATAATGGGGATGGGAGTAGAGGTTGCACATTTTTAAAAAAAATCAGAAGAGTCTTTTTTAAAAAGAAATTGGGTTGGGGGAGGTGGTGGGGGTAGGGTACATGAGCGGGGTTGTGTGGGGTAGGGTGAGATTGTATGGGTTCAAGATATTAATTACTTCGTTTTGATTGAATATTTTTTTGGCTTTAAGAGATTAAAGTGGTTTACAACTATTGTACCCAAATCATATTGGATCAAATCCATATTTACCAATATTTTATATGGGTAGATTGTGATTCAATCCATTTTAACTCAATTCATATACAAACAATCCAAATCTGATTCATACAACTCATTTGCCACCCTCAGCTTTACCCTTCTTAACAAATCTCATGAATCCTTTCATAAGTGAAACCTTCGATTCAACGTGAACACCAACCTGAAATGTCATGTCCCTTTCATTGCAGTGTGCATACTCCTACCTACTCTAGGCTCCAAATAACATAGTCTGGATTACCCTCACCAGTAGCTCATCTTCCCTAACCAAATCAACAATACACAAGTATTCTTCATAACAACCTTAAAAGAACCCAATTTACGGTTTTATCAATTATTTCAATTTTGATAAATCATGGTGGAGAGTGCAATAGTGTTTAAAAAAAATTAAAACATTAAACATTGTTTATACACCTTCTTACTGAATATTTGTTTTTATAAAAAAGTATAAATATCGTATAACATGTGTAAATATTGAATCGCACATGCTCTCACACAAGACAGAACACCAAGTCCTTTATAACCCAAAGTTTAGCCATCTGAAGCTTGTTCAATCTACTCACCCTTAGTAATTTTTGGTGGATCAATTCAACTCAATTTAACTTATCTATTTGATATACCTAGTATACATTCAGTCGATAAGTAGGAATAACCCTTGCATGCTCAGCTCTATACGTAACTAAACCGAATTTCTCGGTCATGTCTAAATCATTTGGCTTCATACCATTTGGTAGCTCCCAATCTAAATAATGAAACAGTTGTGCTGGCACAAGACAAACAATTGTGAATTCTAATTGTAATCCAGGACAATTTCTTCTTCCTGAGCCAAAAGGTAAAAGTTGAAAATCACGTCCAAGAAGATCAATGTTGCTACCGATAAATCTTTCTGGTACAAACTCGGGTGCAGACCAAACTTCTGGACCTCTTCCAGTTGCCCAACTATTTACTAGAATTCTTGAACCTTTAGGTATATCAAATCCATCAATTGTGCAATCTTCAATGGATTCATGAGGGATCAAAAGTGGTCCTACGGGATGAAGACTAAAAACTTCTTTTATGACCATTTCTAAATAATCTAATTTTTCCAAGTCTGATTCTTCTACCATTCTATTTATGCCAACAACTTGTTCCTACTCCTTTTGTAAATTTTTCATTACTTTTGGGTGCTGAGGTATCCATTGAAGCCATTAGTATGTCCTGCATAGAGAGTTCTTTTTCAGTCATGCTAAACTAATACCAAGTAGATTATCAATTATTTTTACCCAAGTAGACTTAGGGGGTTTCTAACACAATTTTGTTACTAGACTCCTTGTAAGTTGTGAATGAAATTCTTTTTACAATATAAGTTATACTCAACGACAAATAGACCATGTAGTAAATGGACTTTAACACTATCAAATTATCCAAAGTACCAACAAATAACCCAAAACTATATTTTGTTAAAAATTGGAATTTGTGATCTTAAAATATGACAAATTATTTACTTTAACACTTAAAGATACCTTAATAATTAATGCAAATCTTCTTATACCATCAACAAAATATTAGTTAAACTCAACTAAAATTAATTTTTAAGATATTACCATTAAAATAGCTTTGATATGGGGACGATCAAACTCGAACTCTGCTTTGCCAGAATTCATGATGTCCATAATATTATCAACAATATCCTTGGTTTTTTTCTCCTTTTTGGAATCTTGAATATGTTCATCAATAACTCTCTCCGAAAATTCATCAAAAACTTTTGCCAATTCTTTTATACGACGAACAACTCCCTGCAAATCAAACACATCAAGAAATGGAAAAAACTCACCAATATTTGGTGTTGCTGTTATTATCATAATTTCTTGAATAACATCTTTAAAACGTCTTTTATCAAAGTCATCATCAATATATTTTTTCCCAAATATCATTAAACAAGCCACGTTGGCATTTAGTGTAGCAACTTTAGCATTAATATCAACTTCAACACCACCAGTAGCTGCCTGATTGATAAAAGTCACAAAATTTCTAACTTCTTTATTTCTCATGGATTGAAATGAATTGATCTTGAGAATACTAAGCAATTCTAACGTACACAATTTTCGCATATTTCTCCAATAAGGTCCATATTTTGCAAACGTCAAGTTTCTTTGATTGTATGCGCAAATTGAGCAACTCTATTATTTGTTCGACAAGCAAAAATAAGATCATGCTTTTTCAAGAATTGTTCAGCAGCATGAGGAGATGAAGCAACAATTATAGGAACTAGGCCAAATCTCATGATCATTATGGGACCATATTTTTTGGCTATTTGATATAGTTCTTGGTGGACATTTTTGTCAATCATATGGAGATTTCTTATAATTGGAAGCCCTTTTGGTCCTGGAGGGATTTTTTCCCTTCTTTTTGATGAATTTATTATGCAATACTTGAAAAATTTATAGCACTACAAGTAGTGCAAGAACTTGTAAGAAAATTGAAGCCATTGAATATTATTGTGTTTTCATTTTGCTTCATGACTCCTACATTATAAAGATGTAAAGAGTTTGTTTGGGGTGAAGCAAATTCAATGAAAAAATTATTTGCTCGGGCATATGACAAAGAAAGAAAAAAACAAAATTTAAAAGTGATAAATTATTCTAGAAAATTCATTGTGTTATAATTGGACTTTCATGGTTCAATATTCACTTTGAAATTTAATTGAGTCAAATTTGCTTTTAAACTTTTTTAACTTGTGGTGAATCAGTAAAGAAGAAAACGAATTATATGTTAAAATTCATATTTTTTAATGCCAATCGTCACTTTCAACATAAAAATATCAGTCACTACAAAAAAGAATACTTCTTACGTTTATGATTAACAACTACTCTCTCCGTTCTTTATAAATAGTTGGACTATAATTATGTCATTTCATAAAATTAATGTATAAATTATCATATTCTTCCTATTATATGTTTGACAGAGTAGTTAATTAGTCTTGAAAATATATACCTTGACTAACCTAGAAAAACTAATAAGTAATTAATATTCATTGGAGTACTTCATACATTGATTAATTAGCCTCTTCATTCACTATTCTATAAAACCTGATTTTGAAAATAAACTCAAAAATTTAAATAGTTATCCAAATGCATTTTAATTTTTGAAATCTAGAATATTCATTGTTTATTGAAAAGTTGACTTAACAAAACATTAAATAAGGGTATAAGGGTAAAGTTGCTTAATTTCTTAATGCAAGTGCAATTTAAAAAGGTGACATATAAAAAAACGGAGACAATATTATATATCTATATTCAATATTGCATTAATAATATATCATTTTTTTTTCATTATAAATTGTAAACCCACTTTAAAATGTAGTCATATTTTATAGAGTAACTTTCTTAGATAGCAAATACAAAAATTATATTTGTATTTTATACCTATAGTTTTCATAATTGTGCTCCATAGCGAACATAAATATGTATGTTTTGTCATACATACACAAATGAAAGTTATGGCTATTCGCTATACATATATGCAAAAGAAGCAATTGTATAATCTGTTTCGACATATATATACAAAATAAATCAATTGTATAATATGTTTTGAATAAAGCGAGAGAGAAAGAAAGAAAGACAAAAGAAAACTTGGTAGGGAAAGATCGTATTTGTATAAAGTGAGAGAGGCGAGTGAGAGTGGCGAGCGAGATCTAGAGAATGGAGAGCGAAATATGGGAGAGGAGAGACACGGAAACAATTATATATGTTACATGTACAATTGTCTCTCGCTTTATACAAATACAAACACATATTATACATGGTTTTTGTACAAAAGTGAGACTAGCAGCGCAACACGAGAGTGGTGAGCAAAATTCCAGCATGAGACGAAAATAACAACGGTTTGTTGTGGGATACAATTAAATCAAACTATGTTTATAACATTTAATTTGAATTAATAGTTTGCTATTATACACAATTTTCCTTATTTTATATGGCTTAACTATAAGTTACTTTATCTATATCAGTTTTTAGGAGATTGAATTAATTAGAAATATTTTTTTTGGTAGAAAAGGATGTATATTATATATTAGAGAAAAGACATAAAGTCACCACTAAAGTTTTTCCGAATTTTCAAAAAGACACTTTAACTTTGTGGGTGTGCTATTACCCCACGAAACTATCTAAATCCACAATAAATATACCTTTTTGACTCATTTTAGCACCACTGGTGTAGTCACGAAATTTGGGTGCGAGAAGGACTGTCCATATAGCTTCAGATCAGCGTAAAATTGCAATCTGGCACTCCCAATTTGACTTATTTTGAAAAAAATACAAAAACCCATGTATTAATTTTTTAAAACCTTTATTAGGAATAATTTTTAATTTTCAAAAAAAAATTCTAATATTCCCTACTATAATTAACTTACCCATGTTTCTTGGGCATCTATGTCTTCCTTCATTTTTTTTCTAAATTAATATATTGTGTTCATTCTTATTCTTTTTTATTTTGAAAAATAAATTAGTTTAGTGATTTTATTCTTCCTACAAATCGAGTTTGAAATTTTGGAATAGTGAAACTATGAAAAACTCGTTTGGGAGTAAGAAGTTGGAGAAGAAGGTGATTTAAATGTTAGATTTTGACTTGATGATATCCTGAATATTAGGACCGTAAATAAGCAGGTATAACGCGGAAGCTAGCAATGCAGACCTCGAAAGACCACGAGTAAGAAGACAATGAGAAATATACCAAAAGACACAAAGATTTAATGTGGTTTGGTCAATCGACCTACGTCCACAAAGGAGATGAGCAATCCACTATAAATATGAGAGTACAAAATACAGAGGGAAACAACCTCAACCAATTCACTCAGAATACATGGGAGGTTCACACAAGTGATAACGTATCAAACTTGTGACCCATAAATTCTTTCCCTAATCAAAACTCTCAAAGCCTTTAAGACTATATTGTGAATGCTGATTAAGTTAGAATGAACATTCCTCTATTTATAGAGTCCTAAACCTTTTCCTACAAGAAAAGGATTAGTCAATCTAAAACCTTCCCCTTAAAGGAAAACCTATTTATGGTAAAAAAAATTTAGGGCAAATAAAACCCAACAAATCTCCCCTTTGGCCTGAATTTCTGACAAAATAAATTTGTCCACCTTCTTTACTTAATCTTCAATAAGTTGATTCTTCTATCCATAATCTCCTTTGCAAAATATGTGTCTCAACACAGAGAACCTCTCTAAAATTAATTTCTCCAACAGAATCTTCATTATTGTCAAAAAGGTTGCGGCTAGAACTACACCCGTCAAGATGAACACCTCTTTGTAACTCTAGTTCAATCATCGATTATCGAACCACTAAACCTGACTCCATCATTGAATCTGGCTCTGATAGCACTTGTTTTGTAATCTCTAGAACCTTCTGCTTTATGTCCTTGTACAGGACAGACTCATCAAATGTCACGTCACAATGTCTCAGGATATTTCTGTTCATGTCATCCCAAAACCTGTAACCAAACAAATCAGAACCATAGCCTATGAAGTAACAGTTCACAGCCTTGGCATCAAGCTTGTCTCTCTTTTCTGGATCAACATGAACATAAGCAGTGCAACCAAAAGTCCTCAAGTGTGAGTACTTAAGTTATTTTCTTGTCCACACCTCCTCTGGATTCTTGAACCCTAAAGGAACTGATTGTCCTCTGTTGATCAAGTATGCAGTTGTGCTCACAGCATTCACCCAAAGTGTTTTGGGCAGCCCACAGTGTATCCTCGTACTCCTTGCACGCTCATTCAATGTTCTGTTCATCCTCTCAACAATTCCATTCTGCCTTGCCTTACTAGGAATTGTTCTCATCAATCTGATTCCCTCAACTATAAAGAATGCCTTGAACTCTGATTTGTCATACTCTCCTCTATTGTCAGACCTTAGGCCTTTGTCTTTCAAACCGCTCTGATTCTCAACTTCAGCTTTCCACTTCTTGAAAGTTGCAAACACATCTGACTTATGCTTCAAGAAGTAAACCCATACCTTCCTACTGAAATAATCAATGAAGGTAACATAGAATCTGGATCCTCCAAATGATGATACTGGAGATGGTCCCCAAACATCTGTATGGACCATTTCCAACCGCACTTTCT